GGCCTGGTCGTTGTTGTTCTTGTTGACAGTGACTGACGCTCACGAGCGGGTCGATGGCGAACACGTTCTCCACCGTCACCTTACGGGGAATGTTGCCGCACGTGCCGCACGAACGGTAGAGCTTGCCGAACTCCTGCGCGAAGAAATCCTTGATCTTGACGGTGCCGTAGCCGTTGTGCTGCACCACCTTGTCCTCGGCGAAGCGAGCGCCGCAGTTGGTCACGGTCGTCACGCTGGACGCCGAGCCACCCTTGATGCTCAGCGCGTCCTCGCACACGTCATCCCACCACACGCTCTCAATGGTGCAGTCGTGGTAGTCGCAGTGCACGCCCTCCTTCTGGTTCTTGCCGATGATGGCGTTCTTCAGAGTGCCGCCAGCCTCCACGAGGAAGACCGCCGTGTCTTTCTGGCCCTCACCACCCGAGCACGTGATGTCCGAGCGCTCGAAGGTCTGCATCTTGTCATCGAACACCTCACCGGTCTTGATCGTGTACCGCCTTCTTGTAGCGGACGATGCCCGTGCTGGCCGGCCACGTGCCGTCCGGGACGGAAGCCGTCGTGTTCCTGACGGTCTGCTGGATGGTCTGCTCGACATCCTCAACGTTCTCCTCAACGGTGGGGGCCGTGGTCACGGGGGTCTTCGACTTCTTGGAAGGCTTCATGGTGGGTGTCGGCGTGGCTTCCATCTGCGTGACCGAGTCACCGTCATCGGTCTGCTCCTCTTGCGACGAAGGAGTCGTGGCTGCCTCGGAAACGTCCTCGTTGATGTGCACGTCGCTCTCCGAGTACTTGCACAGAGGGTTGGACGGACCGTGGCCCAGCATCTTGGGCTCACCGTTGGCGTTACCCTGCGACCACTGGCACACCTTGACGGTGGGCTTGCTCGACTTGACCCAGACGTTGCGGAGTGTGGCCTGGTCGCCCCAGTTCTTGTTGACCGTCACGATGGCGTTGGTCGGGTTGAGGACGTACGTGTTGGACACGGACACCTTCTTGGGTCTGTTGCCACAAGTGCCGCACGAACGGTAGAGCTTGCTGATGTCCTCGCCGTAGAAGCCGTCGATGTCGACCGTACCGAAGCCGTTGTGCTGGATGACCTTGTCGTCGGCGTACCGGGCCCCGCCACCGATGACCTTGGTCACGCTGGACGCCGTTCCGCCCTTGACACTGAGGGCGTCCTCGCACACGTCATCCCACCACACGTTCTCGATAATGCAGTCGTGCTTGTCGCAGTGCACGCCCTCCATTTGGTTCTTGCCGATGATGACATTCTTGAGGTGGCCGCCGGCCTCGACGTTGAACACGGCCGTGTCCGCCCCGCTTTCGGATTGGCCCTCGCACGACACGTCGGAGCGCTCGAACGTCTTCATCTTGCCGTCGAAGACCTCGCCAGCCTTGACGACGTAGGCCTTTGAGTACTGCACGGTGCCCTTGCTGGCTGGCCACGACCCGTTCGGCAAGGAAGCCGAGGTGGCAACCGCCAGGAGGAGAGCCGCAGACGTCACGGACGGCGCGAAAGACTTGACCATCGTTAATTGGTGTGAAGGGTTTAGCCAAGTTGTTTGCCCGAGAGGAGGCGAATTGATTAATGAGCCAAAGCCACTTAATCGCTTTAGACACTGCGATCATCAAGGAGTCATGACCGTGTGTAAGCTTCCACGACTCCACGGCCCTAGTGTTGCTGCAACGACACTGTCATGGCATACAGTATGGTGGACACCGTCCGCTTTGCAAACTCTATTCAGTATCGTAAAACCGCAAAGATCTGGCATTCCAGGTGTTTCTGGGTGTCGTGCTGCTGGTTACGGCTTGCGGCTGGCGGAACAAATGTTAACTTTTTCGCGTGCGAGTCAAATCGGTGCGATAGATCTCATCTGTGAACTTGACACGGCCGGTCAACGCGTTGGAAGCGACTTGACGCTTTTTGCTATTCGAACGGTGCCGTTCGAATTTGCTAGCGCCCCCTGGGACGGAAGCGCTCAACTTAAAAGGCATAGGTCTAACCGACATTCATTATTTAACAAGGCCAGAAATTATATCTGCTCCAAGCCGGCATCCAATAGGTGCATGCTAAAAAAAAACGATGAGGATTACTCTCGAATAGGCCGTTTAGGCTGGTACGAAAAATGCTCAGTGCCCTTTTGTCTGCAGGTACTAGTAGCTCGAAAAACATGTGTGCCGGGCCATCAGATCCTGGTTCCTTGTTGTTCCCCCGGATACGAGCACACTGTTACGTTGATTGAATGGATGGTTTGTTCAATTTGGGGCAAATTGAGGCAAATTTTGCCATTTTACTTTTAATGTAGTCCGAGTATGAGCGATTAAGTAGTGAAAGAGTTAGCGTGGCGTGTTTGAGCGGATACTTAATTTTTGCTAAGTTTTTGAGCAACTCTGAATAGGCAGTGGATGCCCTACTAGTGACTGTCGATGGCGACTACCGCCATCAGCCTCAAGTTTTCTTCACATTTAAGTACATTTAGCGATGCCGCATTCGTCGTAACGCTAGCTATCGCTACAGCGGAGAGCGACTTCGGTGGGAAGCATGGACAATCTATAACGAAGTTTGGTTCGTGCTCACATTCCAGCGCACCGCCATCCACAACCTCGGTCACCGAGCTATTGTAGACACTCACGTATGGCATCCAAGAAGACCATGGCGTGGAGATTAAGTCGACTAATGGAGCAGATGCTTCAGATCCTCAAGGAAATGCCATGACTCGAGTGCACACGCTTTTTGTACTGTAGGCTTCGCTGAAATAACAGGTTAAGAGTATCCTGAAGATCGTTTCTTCTCCTGCCTACAACTTTTACTCTCAAACCTAAATATACAATTCATAAATTCATTATATGCCACCACGCCCCTATTCACAATATGTTTGCTGCACTCCACTGCAGAACTACTTTTTCTTTTGCGCATTAATGCATATAAGGCTTCTATAGAAAAAGAAAAGAAAACAACGAAGCAAAACAGAAGGCCACCTTTCATCATCAGAGGTACTTCTTCTTTTAAGGGACTAAAAACTCAATAAGGTTCTTCAAGCGTGCGCGACCGTGCTCTGTGCTACTCCATGAGAAGATGTCTGCCATGTCAACATTTTCTGCTGTCCAAAGATTCATTGGTGATACAAAAGCTCGCGTCCGACATCCATAGCGTAAGTTTCTAAAGCAGGCACCATCAGTTGCAGCAACATACTACTTCAGAAGTAGTAACACCTCTCGACTTGTTTCAGTCTATGGATCCTCTACTTCCATATTGTAAGACGCTAAGGGGTTTACTTGAATGTTCTCTATCAAAGACACCATCAATTAGCTTTAAAGCTACTCGCACGTACGCTACTACACAATACTACTACACCTCACTACTTCACTTCTATCGGCCATACACTTCCGTTGTGTGAGATATCAACGAGTTCAATCCTCGTTGATGTGCACATCACTCGTCGAGTACTGGCAAAGCTTGCCCGACGGACCGTCGCCCACGTTCGACGGCGTCTTGCTGGCCTGCGACCACTGACACACCTTGACGTTCTTCTTGCCGTCCGTCGTCTTGACGAAGATGTTCTTGAGCGTGGCCTGGTCGTTGTTGTTCTTGTTGACAGTGACGACGCTCACGAGCGGGTCGAGGGCGTACACGTTCTCCACCGTCACCTTACGGGGAATGTTGCCGCACGTGCCGCACGAACGGTAGAGCTTGCCGAACTCCTGCGCGAAGAAATCCTTGATCTTGACGGTGCCGTAGCCGTTGTGCTGCACCACCTTGTCCTCGGCGAAGCGAGCGCCGCAGTTGGTCACGGTCGTCACGCTGGACGCCGAGCCACCCTTGATGCTCAGCGCGTCCTCGCACACGTCATCCCACCACACGCTCTCAATGGTGCAGTCGTGGTAGTCGCAGTGCACGTCTCCTTCTGGTTCTTGCCGATGATGGCGTTCTTCAGAGTGCCGCCAGCCTCCACGAGGAAGACGGCCGTGTCCTTCTGGCCCTCACCACCCGAGCACGTGATGTCCGAGCGCTCGAAGGTCTGCATCTTGCCATCGAACACCTCACCGGCCTTGATCGTGTACGGCTTCTTGTAACGGACGATGCCCGTGCTGGCCGGCCACGTGCCGTCCGGGACGGAAGCCGTCGTGTCCTGACGTCTGCTGGATGGTCTGCTCGACATCCTCAACGTTCTCCTCAACGGTGGGGGCCGTGGTCAGGGGGGTCTTCGACTTCTTGGAAGGCTTCATGGTGGGCGTCGGCGTGGCTTCCGTCTGCGTGACCGAGTCACCGTCATCGGTCTGCTCCTCTTGCGACGAAGGAGTCGTGGCTGCCTCGGAAATGTCCTCATTGATGTGCACGTCGCTCTCCGAGTACTTGCACAGAGGGTTGGACGGACCGTGGCCCAGCATCTTGGGCTCACCGTTGGCGTTACCCTGCGACCACTGGCACACCTTGACGGTGGGCTTGCTCGACTTGACCCAGACGTTGCGGAGTGTGGCCTGGTCGCCCCAGTTCTTGTTGACCGTCACGATGGCGTTGGTCGGGTTGAGGACGTACGTGTTGGACACGGACACCTTCTTGGGTCTGTTGCCACAAGTGCCGCACGAACGGTAGAGCTTGCTGATGTCCTCGCCGTAGAAGCCGTCGATGTCGACCGTACCGAAGCCGTTGTGCTGGATGACCTTGTCGTCGGCGTACCGGGCCCCGCCACCGATGACCTTGGTCACGCTGGACGCCGTTCCGCCCTTGACACTGAGGGCGTCCTCGCACACGTCATCCCACCACACGTTCTCGATAATGCAGTCGTGCTTGTCGCAGTGCACGCCCTCCATTTGGTTCTTGCCGATGATGACATTCTTGAGGTGGCCGCCGGCCTCGACGTTGAACACGGCCGTGTCCGCCCCGCTTTCGGATTGGCCCTCGCACGACACGTCGGAGCGCTCGAACGTCTTCATCTTGCCGTCGAAGACCTCGCCAGCCTTGACGACGTAGGCCTTTGAGTACTGCACGGTGCCCTTGCTGGCTGGCCACGACCCGTTCGGCAAGGAAGCCGAGGTGGCAACCGCCAGGAGGAGAGCCGCAGACGTCACGAACGGCGCGAAAGACTTGACCATAGTGGATTGGTGTGAAGGGTTTAGCCAAGTTGTTTGCCCGAGAGGAGGCGAATTGATTAATGAGCCAAAGCCACTTAATCGCTTTAGACACTGCGATCATCCATGCGTCATGACCGTGTGTAAGCTTCCACGACTCCACGGCCTTAGTGTTGCTGCAACGACACTGCCATGGCATACAGTATGGTGGACACCGTCCGCTTTGCAAACTCTATTCAGTATCGTAAAACCGCAAAGATCTGGCATTCCAGGTGTTTCCGGGTGTCGTGCTGCTGGTTACGGCTTGCGGCTGGCGGAACAAATGTTAACTTTTTCGCGTGCGAGTCAAATCGGTGCGATAGATCTCATCTGTGAACTTGACACGGC